AAAATATTAGGTGTGTCCCGTGCGCTCATATGACCTATGCAGTTGCGAGCGCCGTAAAACACTTTACAAAAACAAACAAAAAAACCAAAATGTATCCGGACGCGGTGTAAACAGGCGCTGGTCAATTTATGGGTCTTTGGAGTTATTGCTATATCGCTACACTAGAATATCTGCTCTGTACCAAGTTCTGAGAAATTTGCTGCAAATTTTTTTTGGAGTTTTACATGCCAAGATTTTTCGAATGCTCTTCTTTGAATATCTTGATTACAACTCTGGATAATCGTACGATTTTGATAGAGCAGATAAAACATTTTGGTTCTGACCTTATGGGCTTAGTAAAATTAAAACAAAAACTTTAAAAAGCCAGGCCAAAAAGGTAGCGATATCTTAAACTCTGTTCATTTGTCTTGGTTTAGATGAGGAAAATACTTATCTACTCTGATAAGAAGTGGAGACATTTGCGATTGAAGGGGGCGGGGGTTGCCAAGTGTCAGAGGTAAAATTCGCGAGAAAATGGTCGCTAAAGCTTGTAGACTCACATACCTGTAGAGTCCTTGGAAACGGCAAATTTACACTTCTTTACGCCATTGATTGACTTTTTTTCCAAAGAAAAACCATACAGGAATGTGTTTAAAATGGACATAAAAATCTGTGAAGCCCTAATTAAATATTTGATGAAAAATTACCCAGCAGGCGGAAAATATCGGTTTCTCTGATTTCATTATTTTGACGTGCGCTTGATTTCACGATGCCTCAGCACAATTAGTGAACACTTTAACCATTACGTAACGTCAACTACAACTTTACTGTCTACACCCCCCCCCCCTGTTTTTTCTGTCGGCTGTAGCGGCCCCGTTCCAACAGACTCCCACCCTGGAGGTAGATGGCAAGGTTTTTGCTCAGTCCACGGCCATCGCCTCCTTCCTGGCACGGGAGTTCGGTGAGTACCTATGAAGGGACTGTTATAATATTATGCTTTGCAGAAAGCTGCGCCAATCAAGTCCGCGCCGAAAGTCGCTCTAGTTTTCATTTCCAGGGGCTTAATGCCTCGGGGGGTG